CTAACAACCATCTTCCTTCCAGGCGGTAGATCACCTGACATCGAAATCTTAATACTTTCCTTTTCCGTTTCTTCTCTATAACCATGCACATAGTTTTCCCTTTACTCACCCACTCGCTCGACACTTTATCTTCCTTCATTTTGCCTTTTCTTTACCTTACTCTGTATTTGATCTATTGGTTGGCTCGCATATCGTTACTGCTGTCATGTATATTCCCCAGCGGTACTTCCTCAACCCTACCCATGTAATGTAAATCCATATGCTTGTTTGACAGAAGGAATATGAAGTCGGAGGAATGATGGACAGATGGTACTATGGACCTAGCTAAATCTGAAAATACTCCGCACCAGCATCAGACTAGGTCTGAGGTAGTTAATAATTTTACGACATAGTTGCAAACATGATCCTGATATATGGCTTCATTACAGACGATGTAGCTTCTTACGATGATACAAGCATTATTGGACAGGGAAACATCTGCTTCCTTGCGCCACGGAGAACACTTCATATGGATATGTCACTTTCCTCGAATATAACGATATGTCATAATTTAGCGTCGTATAACATCCACCATACCTACAGGGACTTCGCTGCGTTCCAGATAAAAAAGTGAGGGTCGGTTTGCTAATAGAAAAATGAAATAATGGAGAGAGTGGCTAAGAAATACTGAAGGGCCACCCACACTCGAAATCGTCGGGCCGACTGAAAAGAAAAAAGAAGGTCAAAAGGTCAAAAGAGGTCGACGATTCTTTATAAACAGCTGCGTAACCATATGAGCGCTCAGACATAGTGACTGTAATACCTTCTATACGTGTAGGTCGAGTATCATTCAACGGGGAGCTTCGGACCCAGTGTCGGCTCCGTTCAGTGAACTTTTCTCATGCAGTGTTGAAGTTCGTTGCATTGAAACCACTGCCTCTAATAAGCGAGACGCTCAAAGTAAGAACAGTAAATGAAGAGAAACCTTACCGAAGTCTTCTTTCTGTCGTTGTCTAGAAGCTTTGCTTCCGGGCCATCTCCCATTCATGATATTGTCAAAGCCCTTGGAGTCCTGTAACAGGTAATATAAACCACCCATCACGCAGAACACACCGATTGAGAATACCCATGTACGGACGACGGTGACGATAGAGGTCTGACCCCCGACAAACCATCCAAAGAGGCAAAAGAAGGTTGCCACCAGGTCTACTACCAGGATAGCTCCCATAAGCTGCCAGGAAGGAACTGAGGACCAGAAGGGGCCTTCCGCACGTGTGATAAAGATAAGCCAATTCTCAGTTAGCGAGATTTCTAGGAACAAGACTTCATCTCGTTTTCTAAAGTTTTGCACGATCCCTCCCTGTTCACCACCGGACAGCATGGTGGATAGCGTGACCCAAGTGCCTATCGCTAGAATAATCCCAAGTAGGACGGACATTCCCCATAGCCTAGGCAGGTTCCACTTCACAGGTGTTTTCGAATAGGGCGCTTTGTCATAAGCTATAGCCAACGTGGCAATGTCGGCAAATATAGCAATAAAAACCACAAGCTGTATGTTCAAACTTTCGTTCATAATGGCTATCCAGAGTCCCAAAAATATCTCGAGGTGCAGGGACAGTGCAATTCGATACACCACATAAGCGTGCATACGATGAAATATTTGACGGGATGTTTTCAAAGCATCAATAATGGCAGATAGACCAGGTGCTAGAAAAACTATATCAGCTGCAGTACGGGCTGCGTCTGAGGAGCCCTCAACTGCAATCCCGGCGTCGGCTTTCTTCAGCGATGGAGCGTCGTTGACACCATCGCCAGTCATTGCCACTAGGTAACCTCGTTGCTGAAGGATATCAACAACATTATACTTGTGTTGAGGGAAGACTTCAGCGAATCCATCGGCGGCTTCGACGAAGTCATAGACCTGAGACCCAGGCATTGTTCCTTTTCCACCGAGGCCGAGGCGTTCGGCGTTATACACATTTGTGCCCAGTCCAAGTTGACGCGACGTCTCACGGGCAATCCCGACTGCATCGCCAGTGAGCATCTTGATTGACAGGCCGAGCGACTTGGCTTCATGTATGGTCTTTGCAGTATCATGTCGAGGAGGATCCGAGCATGGCATTATGCCAAGTATTTCCCATTCACGTTCACTGCGCTTTCGAGCAACACCGAGTGAGCGAAAACCACGTACTGCAAAGTCTGCCACTCTATTCATATAGGCCACCTCTACCTCCTCTGGTATCGGGTGGTCCTTTTTGACTGTCTTTAGCACAAAAATAGGAGCTCCCTTCATGCAAATGATTCGCTCGCCCTGGGGAGACTGCACTATGGCTATGACTTTCTTTGACACTGGGTCAAATGGGAAGAATTCGAGCATTTTATACTGTGTGAGCGTATTCTTCGCCTCTGGATAACCCTTGAGCGCTTTTAGGAAAGCTCTGTCAATAGGATCCATACCCTTCTTCTTTCGCGAAGCGGCCAAACAAGCTGTGAGCATTAGATCCTCTGAGTTCACGCCGGGAACAGTGTAGGGCTCCGCCAAAGACAGTTTATTCCTTGTTAATGTACCAGTCTTGTCGGAGCACAGTATCTCAACACCAGCCAGTGACTCGATTGCGGAAAGCCTTTGGACAATGGCCTTCTTCTTGGCTAGATAAGCTGCCCCCACTGCCATTGTTGTAGTTACCACAGCAGGCAGGCCGACAGGCACACCGATCATAGTAATGGCCAAGGTAAACTCCAAGATGGTGACGATACCATTCGAGCGGTAAAAGGATGATACCCAAACGACGAGGAGAGTCATTATAACGAGGACAAGCAAGACAATACTGATACCGTTCAAAACTTCAGTAAAATGTCCTGTCCCGGAGGTGGCGGCACTAACCAGGGCAGCGGCACGCCCTACGAAGGTATAGTCGCCAGTAGCAGTGACAACAAGACGAGCTTGACCATGCTTCACAGCCGACGATGAATAACAGGTGTCTCCGTTGGTTTTATCAACAGCTAAAGATTCGCCGGTGATTCCAGACTGGTCCACTTGAAGGACGCGACTCGTCAAGACCCGACCATCTGCGGGGATTATGGTGCCCTACCCACGGTTAAAATGTCAACATACCAGAGGCGCACTATAAAGTCGCAGAATGAAGTACCTCTTCGATTTCTAGTATATCTCCGGGCACCACAGCTGAAGCATCGACTTCGGCAAGGTGACTGTTGCGCAGTACGACAGCTTTGAGGGCCAACGTTTTCTTCAGTTCATCTACAATAGATCCAGCCTGAAACTCTTGAATAAAACCGACAGATGCGTTGAGTATCAGTAGAGCACAAATAACACCGAAGTCAACCCAGTCTCGGAGACCAACTGCTAGAATTGCAGCTGCCTATGCCAGTGGCGTATCGAAGAGGGCTTATAAGCGAAGATCACGACATGCGAGGACCAAATATACGTACCTCCATCACAAATTGAACAGGACCAACGAAGTATGAGAAAAACTTGAGGACTAAGTTTTCTTTTTGTTCTTTCATCTGATTGAATCCATACTTCTTTCGACGGAGTAACACCTCGGGCTCGGTAAGACCTGTACTGGGGTCTGTCTGAAGCAGTTCCTCCGAGATACAACAGGGTTTGCTTTTTTCATCTTGTCCAATGTCATTGAAATCGAGGTTGCCATCTATGGACTCGAGCTCGTCGATAAGAGCATCTATGTCCTCAATGTCTTCTCCATCCTCCGCATTCTCGGTGAATGATTTGTATTCAGCCGATATTCTTGCCACGAACTGTTCCTTTGGGTCCACATAATCTTGGCTGGAAGACGCCCCATCACCGTGAGGGGCCCCCGTGGTGTCCAGGCTATGCTGGATACTAGGCATTGGGAGCTTGTGAAAGACTGATATAAGCTGCTAAGATGAAACGGATTTGCGATGGGTTATAGATATGTTATTCGTATTCAATAGAATATGCAAATGATTCAGTGACGAGATATGCAGGCCTCCGATAGAAGCTGCAATGATAATTGAGACTGGGAAGAACAGTGAGAAAGAAAAGGAAATAATAGTAAAGACAACTCGAGGGAAAGAACTATATTTGTGTCATACAAATGGCAAGAACGACGGCGCCGTCCCTACCTAAAAGAATTTACCGTGGCCATGCGAGTCATTGTTAAATAGAAGTGTAGTATTTGAAGGAATGGATGGTTTGCAGGAGTCCTGTTTAAGGAATAGGAGATCAGGTGCTTCTTTCCATAGCTCCCTATTCTGCCATCTACGTGACTGCGTTTGCTTTCAATCTTATACCATACAGTATCACGATACGCCTGTTGATATACTACTAAGTACTCAGTAACGCCTCGAAATAAGATCGTTAGTATTCCGATCTTGTCAAGGAATATAGAAAATGAATGTGTTCCGTAGAAGAATTGATGCTCTATAATTAAGTGATTTCAAAGGAGAAAATCATAGAAATATACGTTCGAATGCGGAATACTCGTAACTTTCCAAGGCTCCAAATCTACTAGGTTCTTTATAGAGGGAATGTATATAGTGTTGGTCGTCCAATCAGAAGATGGTGCCGCTGACATAATCCGAACCAAGACGTCATGCTTTCAAAAATACCCCAAACCAAATCGCCAGAAAAACTCCAACTCGGACTCTTGAACCATGACCGTCACCTTTCAACCCATTGGTTGATCTTTAAACAGCTGTATCTACTCGGTTACTTATGCGCCTTATGCTCCACTAGAGCTTTTGTGACCCTTCGTTCAACTAAAGAGGGCCTCTCGGATCTGCCAACCACGGGAAATCCAGCGCTATTGAACATACCCGTAGTTCCCTGTGACACTACCGATTACGATTACCACTGGGGGCTGTCTGATAATGTTGCATATCTTGGCATTCAAGGAGTTCCTGGTCTATTCTACTGATACCTGAGAAAACAATCGGCGACAGTATCTTTTTGACTCACTTTCAAGGTGCAACGCAGCTTATCGTCTTGATCAGTCCATCTATAGTATAATACAGAAAACATGAACAGGGAGATACCAGGGTTCTACTACGGTAAGTAGGTAGTCGTGTGTCACCACGCCTGCCCGCTCTACCGTACTCCATATACTTCTCTTCCTTTTCTTTTCTGATACTGATATCAAGCCTAGACCCTGAGAAGAAAAAGTACTTCAAGATCGAGGCGAGCCACAAAGCTCCAGCAGGATCCCAATATTCCAAAGATGCTGTTAAGCGCAAACGCAAGGATCAGGAGGTCTGTACCACCTGCACAGACCCGATTTTGAGTTCTTCATTATTGAAACTTCGTAGAAACGCCAACGGAAAGTCCACCTCACTCGGAGGATAGCAAAGGAAAAGATCAAGAAAGCCGCATTCCTATCCAACCCTCTCATTGGGGCAGAGCGAGAGGTTGGAACCCAGATTGTGACCAAAAGTGCCCGGCAAGACCAACGGGGTTTGTTATACGCTGGCCAACTTCGCCGAAACCAGTTGCACCAATTTGAGCCCTGGCCAGATGAATACTCTATCAAACATGTATTGCGCAACCAACGGTCCGGGATTCTGGTCGCTAGTGAGTTGCCTGATTATTGTGTCGTGCTACTACCTCGGTTGCTAATTGCTTCAAGGTGGCCATCGCGGTGGTGAATCTTCTGTTTCGTGAGCGAAGCCTTTCGGTGCGTGGCGGCTGGCTTTCAAATTGCTAACCGCCACCAGAATATGCTTCCCAGACTGCGATCAGGAAAACTGGACTTACAACCGGACCATGGAACGGGTACTCTTCAAAGAACCCTATAGGGTATGTTGCTCACCCTTCGAAGATTTTAATCGCTAGATAACCGCTGATGTGCTATGCTCCAGCTGTCTTCCATCTCGTTAAGCCATACTGGATACTTACTGTAGGGCAAACCCATTCAACCAAAGTCCTGGTCAGTATGGCTGACCGCATCAGAGCGACAATGGATAGCGGTCCAGACGGCGACTCATTCCTCGCACCACGAATGCTTCCCGATCCTGACGAGGGTGGCGATTACCGCTGGCCTCCAAGCTGTACGTTTCTCCCCTAAAACATAGCGTAACGAGAATCAAACTGACGAACATCGAAAACAGTTTCCCACCCTGTCCGCCTCCGCATGGCATCATCGCTATGGTGCTCCGCGCCCTGCCCCGTAGGCACCATGCCCTTTTTCGCGATCGGCACCTCCGACGGCCTCCATACATTGGAAGGCTTCGGAAGCTATTGGGCCCTATCAAAGAAATCATTTGCCAGTGATGTATACACGGGAAAACCAATCCTCCATCGACGGATAGATTCCTCCCACGCCCTTGTTACCAGCGTGGAATGGCTCTCCGCCCAAGTCATCGCCGCGGGACTCAAAGACTCGGCAATATTCCTCCATGACCTTCGCAGTGCCGGAACGGCAACGAGACTCCAGCATTCGCATGCCGTCACTAAAATCAAAAGTGTTGATCCGTATCGCATGGTTGTGGCCGGAATTAACTCAGTATGCCCCCCGTCTTATCGACTTCTCCCTGTGCATATCTACGTGTCTGCGGATTGAGGTAGGACAGCTATAGCTGGAGAGCAACTGACACAAGAGCAGCTGAAAATGTACGACATCCGCTACCCAGCAAATGGCCTTCAACGCAACCCGAATCCCAATAGCAAACACCACACCTCGACCAAACCGTACCTCAGTTTTTCAGATTATTCACCCGAGGTTATACCCGACTTTGATATTAGCCCTGAACTGGGTCTCCTAGCAAGTGGTTAGTCTCATACCCTCCTTGCCCTTCTAGCGGAGGTCACTGACTGCCGGATCCGTCATCCACAGCGTCCGATGAGCGCAAGATTCAGCTGTTTTCACTTCGAACCGGCGAGCAGGTTTCTTCACCTCTGTCGAAATACCAGTACGATCATTCCATCTCTTCAGTTTGCTTTGAGTCGGGGAATGGATCTTTGCATGGGCCACAAACTCCAAGTATATTGGTGTGTGCAAAAGATACGGTGGATGAATGGATTTGGTGAAGGGATATATAAATTTCATGAATGCAAGCCATGATTGCATGCTAATGGATGATGTTACATATCTGAATTACAAAATTTATTACATTGCACTGAGAACCACCTAATCCAAGCCTCCTGCTAGCCATTCACCAACTTCAACCCCGATACCCTTGGCCATTTCCCCGATCCAGTCGCCAGAGACATTGACACACCACTTTTCACCGGCATCGGATGTGGTGTTTCCGCTATTCAACCCGCCTGACCCCAATCCCATGCGACCACCACTTTCGCGACCTGCTGCAGGGACAACAAGCCGTAGTCGACGTAGCGTGGCAAGTTCCGCATATATTGCATCGGAAACTGCTGCTTGAAGGACGGGATTTGCCGGTGGGTTGGGATCAATAGCGTGGTAGATAGCCATTAATCTCTCCAAGGGGAATGGACGGGCTGTGAGAATGGTGGATGGACCAGTGATGCCGGTGGCCCCAGCAGCAGAGGTTGTGGCGGAAGAAGTGGCAAAAGCTGACTCCAGGGTCGATTTTGTGATGCGAGTCTTTTGCCTCTTGCCCTTTTTGCTTGGGGTGGAGGGATCATTGCTGACAGTTCGAGCATCCTCCGCCTGAGCTTTAGATAAGAGCTTCAGTCGTCGTCGATGATGGGCACGCTTGTTGCGTGCTGACAGAGAAGATGATGAAAACTTGGAGAAAAAGATGGTATCGAGCCGTTGGGGGATGTGGGAGGCCAAGTAGGCAGACGTTAGAATCAAGGTCGGGAAATAAGGTAGAGAGGGAAGGGGTGACGGCGTAGCCACAGATGATAGCATGGGCTTCGAGACTGAGCCATTGCCAAATGATGCTGGCTCCTCGGTGACGATATGATGCACAAGCGCCGCTTCGCCGTGATTGCGGAAGAGACCACGATTTTTAAGAAGAAGCCGAGAGAAGTCCCATTCTTCACTGCCTCCGGGCGGGGTCTCGCCGTTTGTGATAGGAGACATGAACTGGGGCCAGAGTTTCTCGCATATCGACCGAAAAGTGGGAATAGAACTGGCTGTAGGCCCAACTAGGGAGTCATAGATGGCCGAAACGAAATGGGGGTATATCTTAAGCGGTATCTCATCAGAGAGACCGGCTATTGTAGGTGGTCGTGAGTTCAAGATAATGGTAATTGCTTCGTTGCGCGTATATGGAGGAAAACTGATGTGCGGGACACCTGCAGCCTGCAAGAACAGTGGTCGTGGAGTAGCGCTGAGAATCAAAACAACCGAGAGACTGGGGATCTGTTCGACTTTCAGTCAGCAATCGTTGCTCCAAATATCGAAGTAGCAACTCACTATTTCTCCGAGCCTCGCTAGCGCAGACAACAGAGTCTGTGGTGCCTCTCGCTGCTTATCGATCCCATCCAAAACAAGCACGAACTTCTCAGCTCCCTCGCCAGACCTTGATGCCAAACATTCACTTAGAAGAACAGCGAGCGTACTGACATGCTCACACCTTCCTTTGCCATATTTCTCCCACTCATCCCGTTTCCCTAATGCTTCTAATGTTGCCCACAGTATCTTTGTCAGCAGATGGCGGCCTGTTATGCATTCCGTGCTTCGGACAATGGCGTGTGGAACTTCGAGGGCGGAAAGAACGGCGCGAACGACTGTCGACTTGCACGTCGCAGATATGCCATGCACAACTAACGTCGCAGGGCTAGGACCGAGAGGCTGAGCAAGGTGAGAAGTTGACTGTTAGTAACACGTCCTCAAGGATGCGCTTTGGGAGGTGGGCAGGCCAAGTGAAACGTACCCCAAGCAGGCTGGCAAGTTGTCTGGTTTGAAGCTCTCGACATGGCCAATTTTGGCTCAGTGATCGAGGAATCTCTATCGGAAGCATCAGGTGCTTTTAGATGGTACACCTGGAAGGGTCTCATTTACAGAGAGCGTCAGGGACAGAACAAGCTCATCGCGCGGAGATAAAACACCGGAGATCTTATCGTCGCGCTTCACATGCGAAGTCACGTGGGTGTGTCTGTATAGTAACTCCCATGATTGGAATTGCTTCTAGACAACGCTCTCATGGTTAATTTTCATATAAATTCAGATACCGCCGGAGATCAGTACAGTAACACCTTAATTGCTAACGTATGGGTACATCTATTCTACCGAATGCTGTTGGGACAAGCTTCCAATGAGTCATGAATCATGCAGCAATCGTCGCCAGTATGTGTAAAACACAGATAAGAAGTAACATAGGCGCCATGCCACAGTACCAAGAGAGCATACAGTACTTATCATAGATAACTTTCATATGACAGCCCACTGTTCCAATCGGAGTCAAGATGGCCACAATGACGACTGAAGCGAACAACAAAACAGAGCATTCCAAGTAACGTTAAAGAGACGAGAAAAAAGATAAAAACACAGTTCAGCGTTGTCTGATAAGGAAAATAAATGAAAATATCCTGAGCAAGAACAGAAGAAAAAAA